CATATATACAACTCTATATAAGCATATTTCTAGGAATTCGACTGCTGATTACTTGGGTCAGCTTTTATGTCAAATCTCTTAATGAGCAAAGCGCATGACGAAGAATGCGATAAGAACTCGAGCAGCATAAAACCCTTTAGAAGCACATACGTGCTTCCACTGCACACAGAGACAGAGCCATACAAATATATATGTATATATATATACACATATAGATGTGTGTTAATTGAATGTGTGAAAGCGTTTAAAAGCAACTATTTTGGCATTTAGCTCACGTGCAGCGAGCGTTACGAACAACACAAAAACAAAACACAAGCCAACAAAAATAAAAAGCATTTGGTATAAACTGTAAAAGCTACTTTTAATATCTCTCTCGAAAAAAACTGTTGGCAACAGCCGTGAATAAAAGGTTAAATTGGGTTAAAGAGGGAAATGCCTAAATTAGGGCTAAATAGGAAAACTAAAGCTAAGACTAAAATATGTATATGTACATAATTTTATATGAGATAAAACCTAACTTAAGGGAAGTCTATAGATGCAAATGGACTTAGAATATAAAGTCATATATATGGTTATTTGATTGAATGATTGACTGTCAGACTGACACTGAACGATTGATTGATAAATGTATTAGCTGACTAGTAATTCTTTGAATGAGTGATTGAATGCTTGATTTTCATATAAAACCAATCTAATTGCTAAAGAGATTGACTGAATGATAGTCTAACTAAGACTTGATTGACGAACTCTATGATTGTGTGACTACTTGTTGATTGATCTACTGAATAAGTGATTGATTGACTGAGTATGCTTGGCCAACACATTCGCTGCCTTGCTGACTAATTGATTTATTGCTTCATAATCAACATACAGTTCAAGTCCTCATAGATAAGAAATCCATAAAGCGTATGCCATAAAAAAATCTATAAAAAATATATAATTAAGATTTAAGTATCTAATAAAAAGTTGTATATGGAAAGATACTGCATGTATGTATAGTATAGAAAGAAATTGAACTTTAACTTTTGATATTTTGATTCATAGGCAAGAACTGAAGTCCTAATCAAATTTCATGCTCAACTTCAGATTGTACTTGAGATCTTAATAGAATTTCATGCTCAGCTAGATCATACTCCATAATCACGACTCTTGAGTTCAAACAGTTTGACAAGCACCGCATTGATTTATTTGCCAGCGTGCTTGATTTATGCAACTTTGATTTGAAATATTTATGTGGAATACATTTTCAAATGAAATCGGCATGCGATATATATATATATATATATATATATATATATATTTGAGAGCTATGCATATATGGTCTATAATATTTATCACTTCATGGCTCAGCGCCGAGGCAAGAATCAGTCGATTGCAACGTGTTTATGTCACAGGCTCCCAGCACATAAATCAAGTCCAATACAAGTGTGGGTGGAATTCTGTTTTTCTTGTCGTTTTTCCTTCTTTTTTTTGACTTAGCTTTTGTCGCCAACTCTCAGCCCAGAAGTTGAGTCTAGGGCGTCGACTGGCACTTTGCACGTGCGTGGCGCATATATATATATGTGTGTATATATATGCAGATATCTACATATGTGTGTATATCGCCTGCATATATCAATCACTTGAGCTGGCTTGCAACTCTTTTTACGCTTCGCCAGAGTCATGTGCCACACTTTCCAGCAACAACAACAGCAACAACAACAATAGCTAGAAATGTGCGCTGCATAAGTGATGAAAGCCCAAAATGAGTTTGACAAGCGCTGGCTGTCAAACTGTGCGCACAGATGGCTTCCTGTGCGCTTTGTTTTGCACACACACGCACACACACATACATATACACATACACAGGGCTGCCTTACCCTTTAGCATCTGGCATCTGCCTGTGTCTCTATTAGACTTTGTTTTCATTTTATGCCAGGCAAAAGATTTCAACGCCCCCGCAGCAGCAGAGGCAGCAGCAGAGGCAGAGGCAACGACAGCGGCAGCAAATGCAAAATGCACATTTTTAATGATGGGGGCCCTGCACTTGAGCCAACGGCAACAATAACAACGACAACAGCAGCACAAACAACGTTGTTGACGTTGGCGTCTCGCACAGGATGTGCCACAGAGTTGGGGCAGCTGGGGCACGGGTAGCAGGAGTTGGGGGAATGCTTTGCCTTGGGGCTGGGCCATCAGCCGTCAGGGTCTGCCTGCCCTTCGACTTATGCAAAACGTCTCCACGCTTTGTTTTTATGGCCTGTTCAATGCAGTCAGGGGATTCCGTCTTGTCTGATGGGCACCGTCTCCTCTCCTCGCCATCTCGGCTGCCGCCTCTACCCCACTAACCTCGAAAATTGCCACATTTGGCCTTAAAGTTTTGCGTTTGTGTAACACTTTTCTCTCGCCATCTCTTGCTCTCACACACTATCTGTCTCTCTCTCTCTCTCTCTCTCTCTCACCCGCTCTGTCTCTATTCGTAATCCGCTTAAGTTCTCAAGAATCGGCACAGCCTCATAATGAGCACAGCGCGATCATCATAATTGTCGAACGTTGTGCTTTCGTTATGCTTTCGCTCCGCTTCTTCTTCCTCTTGATCCCCATTCATTAGATTTTCGTTTTTCCGGTTGTGTTCTTAATACTTGAGTGGCAGCCTCTACCCTCACACATATCTCATCGCATCTCTCGCCACTCCATTCCAGCTAGCTATGCGAGTTTAATTAGACCAAAGAGGCAGACACTACACATCTTCAACATCTTCAAATCTCATCAAATTAGACGCCGCAGCGTAACTTGACACATTCTCCCCCTCCCACCTGAACCAATTAAGCAAACGATTCCCTGTGCCACTAGCCACTCCTGTTTTTTTGCTCTGATGACTCATTCCGCCCCAAATCGCCAGCCGATAAGCCCAAGTCCAGACAGACGTCTGTCTGATTGCCGCAACTGTTTAGCCAATCTATAAAGCAAATGAAGCCAGCTAAGCGTGTGACAAAGGAAGCTCAGTTGGAAACCCTCCCTTTGGCCGGTCCCACTAGCCGCCTCTCGAGTTACCACAATATAAATTCATATATATATATTTGCTTAATATATGAATTTTACCTCTGCTATTGCCACATTTAATGTTGAAAGTCGTGCAGCATTTGCATAATCAATTCACACGCTGCTCTATTAAATGCGGTTGAATGCATTCATTTCAATCATTTAACATTCAGCAGTCAACACTCAACACTCAACGCTCGACCGTATGCGAGATGACAATGCACTCATTAGTGGTCGGCAAATGCAGCAAATGCAGCAGCTGTAAACTGCATTTAAATTGCACTTACAAAATAAACATCGTGTGGAAATGTGCACCAAATCGTCGACGTTGACCTCGAATGAAACGGACGCATTCAGGGCCTGGCGATAAAACTACAATCTCACAATCTCTCAATGCGCCCTATGCACAGCATCCGACGACTGAGCTAATAAATTCGTCTTGACTTGTAGAATAAACAGAATATTATTGGACAGAAAATTGTGTTTTCCTCGAAATATCAATAAATATGACATTTTGTGGTTTATTGCTTTATTAAGAAATGCCATAACTAACTTTTACTGAGTGGAAGTGACTGCGTTTATGGGAGTAAATAGAGAACGTAAAGATAGAAGCGGCTTGTTTGATATACGATGTGTATATACATATGTATATACATTTGATATATGGGTAGAAAGTCTCACCTAGTTTCCTCAAGTTCCAACTAACTGATGCTAACATCTCGTTTGCTACATATATATATAAAAGCAGGAATATTATCGCTTAGCTTAACGTATTTTATGCCTCTCTATATTATCCTCTCTTATGTAAAGAAAAATCGTTGGAGGATTTCCTTCATTCGTATCTTGTATAGTTTTCCTAGGTGCAGCTAATCAAATTCCTAATAGGGGATAAAAACGATATTTGACATGTTTCAGTCGATATCATTTTAATATAGGATATAGAATATTCTAGGACATAGAAAACCCCTCAAGAACTGCTTTCCATCTCCCATAACTACTTCCTTTCCACAGCCTCAGGCAATCTATTTATCTTACATAAATATTTCCGATAAGACAGTAAAGAACTATGAACAGCTATGCTTAACTACAATTATCATTAAAAATGCGTATCTGCTAACCTTGCCTAGTCTCTCTCATACAACTAAAAGACAATAACCTTCAGACTTGCCCTCTCAACTCGAGGGATTCTCAATTCATTTATCCCTAATGACTCGGTCAATCGCGCAATCTGTGAGCACATATTGCACAGCAGTTGCATTTGGCAGCCAGCAGACTCTTAAATCAAGGCACGAACTATCGATGAACCCGAAAAGACCTAGCACACATGCACAAACGAGCGCCTCCCCTAGATGCAAACCCGTTACGTGCCACATTTGGCTGCAAGCCAGCCATAGGAAATAGAAAGAAATTGCAGCTGGCCAAACAGACAGAAATAAAAGAAGTTTTTAATATGTGAGCGCAAGCTCAGAGGGTAAGGGTCGGGGGATGGAGGGGCAGGGCGTCCTACAGTCTTTTAGGGTTTGGCTTTGGCTAGACAAAAGCGCGCGCGGAGCTCTGGCGCCGTTGGCGCAAGGATGTTCATGTCAAATCAAAACGTTGGCTTAATAGTATCCAAAATTTAACGGGTTCCATTCGCTGAACCGCAAACAAAGGCCGCCCACACAGGAGTCGCCCGTCAATGCGACTCGCGTATTTGTTTAGAGCCAACAAATTGCCAGGCAAGGCCTGGTCGGGTCTGGGCCCTGCCATTAACCAGCTTCAGCTTGGGTCTGGAGGCTGGGGGCATTTGCATAGACGTCGACGATAATTGCATGAAATTATAATGCAGCCCATGTGTAGCCTGTCGCTCGTAGGAGTCGATGCCCACACACACACGTAGACAGAGATGCTGTGTGTGTATACCCTGTAATTATAGAGATTGATGCAAACTCTGCTCTAACCTAGTCTCTCTTTCTCTCTCTCTCTGTCCCTCTTTGCAGCATCATCGTGGCAGCAATGCAAGCGAGGAGCGCGTGCCACAGCCACACTCACCACACGATGGCGGCCACATGGGCGGCGGACTGCAGCACTCGGGCTCGCGGGCCACGTTGCGTCAATCAATGAATCACTCCAGCAGCTCAATGACGGGCGGCTCCGCCTCCAGTTCGACGCCCGCCTCGCCGCAGCTGAGCGGCGGCCAGCTGCTGTCGAACGGACACCACTATCAGTCACAGTCGTCGGTATCGTCGAACTCATCGATTGTGTCGGCCATACCCGCCTCGCAGCGCCTGCTCGAGGAGGCGCTGGCCAAGCCGGCGCCGTATCCGATGATCCTGCTGCCGGTGCACGGCGGCTATTGGCTGGACGGGACCGAGCACGAGTGCAGCTACGATGCACGGGGCAATCCGCAGCTGCCGCAGACCACCTGGATGGCCAAGTTCGAGATGGACGATACGGCCAAGTGCTATCGGCGCTTCTATGCGGCCAGGGAGCACTCGAATCTGGTTGGGCACGATGAGCAGCTCGGCCCGGTGCTCATCTCGATCAAAACGGAGAACGTGGCCAACCAGGAGCATATGCGCATCCTGCTGCGCCTGCGCACCGGCACCATGCACGAGCTGATACCGGTCTCGTGCCTGGGCGCCCAGCCCAGTCCGGCGAAGATGGTGCGGCTGCTGAACGAACAGATCCAGGTGGATAACTTCATGCCGGTGTTGTGCCCGAAGGCATCGCAGCTGATCAGCGTCTATGATGAGCATGTGCTTGTCTCGCACTTCAAGTTCGGCGTGCTCTACCAAAGATATGGCCAGACCACCGAGGAGGAGCTCTTCGGCAATCAGCAGACCTCGCCGGCGTTCGAGGAGTTCCTCGATGTGATCGGCCAGCGCATCAGGCTCAAGGACCACAAGGGCTATCGCGGTGGCCTGGACATCCAGAACGGGCACACCGGCGACACGGCCGTCTACGAGGTGTTCAAGGAGCGTGAGGTCATGTTCCATGTGTCCACGCTGCTGCCCCACACCGAGGGCGATCCGCAGCAGTTGCAGCGCAAGCGGCACATCGGCAACGACATCGTGGCCATCGTGTTCCAGGAGACGAACACCCCCTTCTCCCCGGACATGATCGCCAGCCACTTTCTGCACGCGTTCATTGTGGTGCAGCCCCTGGAGCCGAACACGCCGCACACGCGCTACAAGGTGAGCGTGACGGCCCGGGACGACGTGCCCTTCTTCGGGCCGACGCTGCCCAATCCGGCGGTCTTTCGCAAGGGCCAGGAATTCAAGGAGTTCCTCCTGACCAAGCTGATCAATGCCGAGAACGCCTGCTACAAGGCCGAGAAGTTTGCCAAGCTTGAGCTGCGCACGCGCACCTCGCTGCTGCAGAATCTAGTGGAGGAGCTGAAGGAGAAGACGCGCGACTTTCTCGGCGCCGATCTGTCGCAGACCCTCGCCGGCAGTCCGACACCCGAGACGCCCAAGTCGGAGAGCGGAGGCGGCGGCGGCGGCAATGCGGGCACTCGGTTCATTGACACCGTCAAGAAGGCGCTGATCATGCGCGTGCGCTCCCAGAGCGTGGACACCGGCAACGGGGCGCATCCGGACAAGTTCAGCGTGAACACCAAGGTGGGCACGCTCAACTCTAAGAAGGAGCCACAGCCCGAGACACAAACGCCCAATCTAAATGTGAGTAGACATTGGCTTGGCTCTAGTCGAAGCAATTAGCTAATCCGATTCTCTTTCTCTTTCTCCTCCTGCAGACCTGCAGTCGCACGGCCTCCAAGTCGTCATCCAAGTCGAAGTCCTCGAATGAGTCCACATCCTCCTCGCCGGACATCACCTCACGACCGGCTAACCATAATCACAACAACAACAACAACAACAATCCAGCTGGCGGCCAACAAAATGGCGGCGGCATTGCCGCCGTCGCCGTCAGCGCTGGCCAAAACGGTGGCATTGTGGGCGTGGCCGTGGCCACCATGTCCGAGGCGAGCGACGACTCCAGCCTGAACAGCGTGGATCTGGACCCGATGATGGGTCACCTGGACGGCGGTGCCGCCTACATCGACAGCGACACGGGCCTGGAGAGCATGAGCTCCGCGGAGGCAACGACCAAGGCCTGCTCGCTCTGCCTCGAGGGGGTGCAGGGCACTACCATGATGGGCAGCTCGCCCAGCAACGAGACCATCATGATGATCGAGAATCTGCGCCAGGAGGTGACGCGGCTCAAGTGCGACAAGCTCGATTTGCTGCGACAGAATGTGGTAAGTAGAGGGAGAACGAGAGAGAGAGAGAGAGAGAGAGAGAGGAGAGATCCCTATAGAACAATTAACTCATTTGAATATTTTCCCTCTTCCTTGCAGACCTGCCAAAGGGACATCAAGCGTTTGCGGGAGCGAGAGCTATCGCTGCAAGGCGATCTGGCGGCAGCCGGACGTGAGATTCTGCGTCTGCGCGATCTGCTCAAGGAATATATGCCAGACACAGCCGCAGCGCCGCTCTCCATTTCGCCCATCTAAAGCGTCTAACGCCAAGCACAAAACAGGGAGGGAGGGAGACAGCGAGAGAGAGAGAGAGAGAGAGTGAGGGAGTTGGAGGAGATCGGAGGAACCACTGTGCCGTGTATAACACTTTGGATGCGTCGTTATTTGTTTTTTCTTTTTTATTTCTGGGGCCAGTTCTCGCAAAACTGTATTATATTTAGTTTGCATAGCTGTTGGAACTCGAAGAGGATTGAAAGCTGAAGTGTGGCGGCATATATATTATTACAGATTAGTCTACAAATATACATATAACAGTTAAAAGAAACAACATAGAGAAAAGATAACAAACATACACACACACAGAACTCAAAAAGTTACACCAAATATATAGTTGATAAGTCTTTAAGCATATTTAACGCAATGTTTAAAACCCCAAACAAAAAAACAAAAAACAAAAATTTCCCACAGACGCAAAAACTAAGCCTTAAATATAAGTAGACAGAGAGAGAGGGAGTATAACAGAGACAGCGAGAGCTTATCGATTAGCGTATAAAACAGTTACAAAAAGTTTGCATTGAAACGTTTTCGAGTTCGAATTCGTCATCGATTTAGTAGCAGAGTAGAGCGATCCTAGGCAACCCTGCACTGTGGCAACCCTGTTAGCTCCGCTCGTTTCCATTCATCACGTAGACCTCAACAGCAATTATTAACCAATTAAAAGAAAGAGGAAGAACAACAAAATCGAAAGCTAATTAAATTAACATATATATTTATTCAACAAAAATATATATATAGATATATTCTATTATGTATGTGTTTTAAAGTTACAAATGCAAAACTCTCGTTAGTTTTTGTTTTTAGCTGCAATCGATAAATATTATTAAACAGAACGAACATAAGAAAAACAAAAACTCGTAACTCTTAAGTTTAAGTTGCTTTAAATAATTTCTAATTACAACTTAGTTTGATTAAGTTTTGGGCTAAGCAACGGAGGAGCTTAAGCTAAGCTAACGACGACTCAGCGGAAGGCAAGGAGAATGTTATCGAAATTATTATTATCGGAATTCATCTGTTGTTTTGCCCTTGTATATATATTATTTACATAATTCTCGATATATCGATATATCTGTCGATCTAACGTAATTACTATGCAATTTAATGACTATTTAATAAACGTATTGAAAAATGATAAATAATTATCGATAAACGATTTAGCCCAGAGCAAAATGTGCAAGATTCTTCAAATATATATATTTTAATATATATATATATTATCTGTCTATATACGGCTAAAGAACACAAAAATACACCCACATTCACACACACACGCATACAAATATAGCATACATTTATACATCAAATCAAAGAGTTCTTATCGAGTTTATCTATATGTATGAATTCTACCATAAGTACCACAAATTGTTTTTTGTTGACAAAAATTCATTATTTTAATTGTGTAAAATTACAAAAACAAACAACAAAAAAGCAAAGAAAAACCAACAAAATATACATATATAATTATATATATGCAAAATATATGGAATATATACATAAAAATATATTATGCTGTTTTTATTTACTAACAAAATAAGCTTGAAACGCTAAGAATTAATTGTTGAATGTATTTCAGCAAAACTCCCTTTTTGAAATCACGCGCCTTTCTTTGAAGCGCTAACCAGCACTGTGGGAGCTTTCTGTTGGCACCCACAGGGTGACCCGCTTTCTGAGCTTTTTGTTATATTGCTCTTCGTCGCATGCAGCCACACTGAAATGAACTGTTTAATTATTCAGTTTTGTTTTGTTTCTCGTGCAGCAATTATTCGCCTTTAATTATTGTTTTATAAAAGTACCAAAAGGTTTTTATATTCCCTAATGTTATATATTTATTATTTCAAATGACAGTTTGGCAACTGATCTTAAAGTTCTGTTAGCGCACTGTAGTGGAATGTTGCTCTCCGAGCAGCTGTTGCGCTCTGCGCATGCTCTCTCTGTCGCACGCATTTGCTTATTGTACCCTGTGCTTGACAATCAGAAAGAGTTGTCTGAGTTATAAACAGTCAGCTGCACTTGGCCAAAGTGAATTGGTCTAATTGAATTAACCAACATAGTAAGAAACTAATTATATTACGAAATAAATATTTAAAAAAAATGTATGAAAACTTTTTACAGGTATTTAATTTTTAATGAACAGAGAAATATAGCAACAACAAAATCAATTAAAATTGAAATTGAGAATGAATCTATATATATACTAAATAATAATAAAAACTGTAACCTAATAAAATACAATACAATGAGTAAACAAGTTCTTCACAGAGTATCTCATATGTGTCATACTCGTATTTTTGCTCTCTCTGCTTATAATGCTTTAGGTGTTTTTTCCAACTCTCAAAACGCGAGAAACTTTTGATGTGGACGGACGTTTCGTCGCCGCCGTCGTCGTCGCGTGGAGGTTTCAGTTGCTTGAATTAGAGAATTGTTATTGTTTTCATTCAGGCCTTTGGGCTGAGAAGGCGGTGCTCAGAGGGTGCATTTAATACATATTGAATATCATTGAATAAAACGCTGTTCTCCAATTTTCAATCAAATCAATGCAAGTCGCGTGTGTGTTCGTTCGGCAAGAAGAAATAGTGCGAAAAATCTCTTGAGTGACTTTTGGTGTTGCATTTTGCAATTTGCTTTTGTTTCGTTTTGGCGGCGTTGTCGTCGGCTGCTGTGCACGTAAAACATAAAAACGATTCTCATTAAAAATAATAACAACAACAACAAATAATAACAACAACGTACCCAAAGAGTTGTACGTGTGCCAATATATGTGTATGTGAGTGTGTTTGCGCGCGGTTGAGTGTGGTAATTTTTTCGTCGTTATTACTTCATAACAGAGCGCAAAGCTGCGCTGCTGCTCTCTCGCACTCTTTCTCTCCTGCTCTCTCTGTGTCTGCGTTATACGCTCTTAAGCTGTGTGTCGCTCTCGACAGCAGCCGGCAGGCTCAACCGAGGAGGGTTGCAGCAGTAGCAGCAGCAGCAGGAACAGGAGCCGCAGTTGTGACCACAACAAAAAATAAGTAGCAAAGCTTTGGCTAACCCTCGTACGCTCTCAATTACGGTCTGCCTCTGTACACCCTCTCATTCAACGTTGGAGCCACAAAAAAGGTAATTAGTTGTATTTTATTTTATTAATGTGACAAATAAGCAAATAATTGTGAGTGAATGCGTGTCTGTATGTGTGTATGTCAGAACATTTTTACGTGTATGCGTAAGCGAATGAATCAAAAAATTAAGAAAGCAAACAAATTATTAAATAACAAAAGCTGGCAGCAGCAGCTACAACAGCAATGCAAATAGAAGCAAGCTAGAGAGAGACTAAAATTCTCTCTTATATATAGAGGCCGATCAGCAGCTGAGCTGGGCTTGACTGTGCGTACGAAAGAGATGCAGGTAGCGCAGCTTCACATGGTGTGTGTAATCGTAGCCGGCGCCTCAGCTGCTACTGTTGTTGCTGTTGCTACTGTTTTTGCTGCCTCGCTCTCTCACTCTCTCTCGATTTACCGCTTTTGTTGTTTTGGTTGTTTCTGGGATAAGAATAGCAATAAAATTACAATAAACGTTAAGTATATTGAGAAGGCGCTTGTAATGGGGGTGGGTGGGTTTCCTTTACACTCGAGCAAGCATCTGCTGCTTGGCTAGGGGGCGTGGCAGGTCTAAGGCGTTACGTGCACTCGACTAATCAGCCGTCAGCTTCATAATCTAGCGATTAAGTCGAGTCTTATCAACGAAAGGTGCTCCGAGGGGTTGCCAAGGCATATAGGGGTCCAGAGTGTGTGTGTGTATGTACAAATATATGTATGCACGAGCATAGTTGTTTATGTGTGCAGTGAGCATTCGAGGTGAACGAATTTTAGAGCTAGATAATAAGATGATGCATTTACAGTTATGTCAAAGTTGCCCATTGCATTCTTATCGGAGAGCAAACAATTGCTAATTGTGTCCAATTAGAATTTTGCATTACATTAAAGCAGCAATTATAATGCGAGATCTTGATCTCCAATTGGTTGGCATCATCGAAATATATTTCGTCATTCGTCTATTTATAAGTCAAATCAGAGTATAATTGAATTTAATTTAAATTTCATATATTTTAATTTGCTATGATGATTTTATAAGGCATTTATAAATGGTTTAAAGTAACATTAATGTTATTTGTAATGTTCATTATTTTATGAGAAATATCAATTGAGCTTTTTTTAAAATTATTTTAATAAGCTTTTAATATTCTTCAGAAATATTTGCATAATCTCACGAATTTCGTGATATATTTAAACAATGTACAGAATTCATTAAGAATCTTGGAATTTATTAAGCTTATCCAGGAACATATGTTGGTATACATTACTTAAATATCTATTCGAAAATCCCAATTCCACATCCGATCTGCTAGAGTGCTGCCACTGGAGACAGGTGCAAAGTGTCATGGATCATTTAAGAAGCATCAGGTGGCAATTTAATTGTCCGTGCGATGCGGTTGCTCGAATATTTCTCCGCTAATGCGCCATATGCCCAGCCGTGGAGTCGAATGGCGCACGCTCATTATCTTGTCTCCGGTTTGTTTTATGCGTCCGCGACGCTGGCGTCTGTTTTGCTCCAGTCTGCCAACCCACCCAGCCATGGGCCATTGGAGCAACCACTCAAGAAAATAATTTTTTGGGGGTCGGCCACTGCTGCCCCACACCACATAGTCGTCCGACCGCCCGCCCACCTGACATGCCAAACAACATTCCAAGAGTGAGGCGAGCGAGTGGTTTTGGTGGCTTTGGGTGGTTGGGTGGGGTGGCACCACACGCACATATCTTAAGCGTATAAAAAGGGCTCATAATTTTCAGTTTAATTACAATAAGCAAACAACTGCACCGCTTGCCCCGCCAATGATGGGTAGCTGTGGCTCTTTATCTACACTCCACTTTGACGAGCACCTGCCCCTACCTAGACGACCTTTTGAGCTTTCACCTGGCTGTGCAACCTATTAATAAATCTCATTAATAAATTAAACGTTTTAACGCAGGAAATTCCCTTCGCTCTCTTCCCGCACATACGCACACGCCATCTGACGGCGCGTTTTGGCATATATTTTAGCTGATGGTTTTTTTTTAGCTTATTGGAGAGGGTACTCGATTTGTATAGGCGAGTGTGTAACATGCATCAGAATAAACTCATTTGTAGATTGAAAAACATGTTTTTAGTTTTTAGAATATTTTTATAGCTCATTAGATTGGATTATAGGCTCAATTCCCATCAGCATTCTATGAGCTATTTCAATATTAAATTTGTAGCTTATTAATATTTTTCCAACAAGGCTTTGATCATTTTTACTACATCAATAAAGTTTTTATTACATTCGTATAATTATTTCAGAAATGCCATTAGATCGATAAAAATAAAACTTGGTTTATTAAAGTATTTTAGCTTTAGAATATAAATTATGCAATGCTTTTGTTTGCAAATATTTGTATAATATTTTTTATGTAAATTTTTAAACTGCTTAAGTTAGTATTAAGTTATAAATTTTTGGATTAACCATTTTTAATCTCAAATTGAGTTCTGATATAATAAAAAAGGCTATAATACTGTATTTAAATCGATATTTTGATAGGCTTATATATTATAGATTTGGAATAATTGTATTAGGCTGATGATGCAAGAAAACATTGTTCAAACATTATTTTAATATAAATTTAA